GTTTATCTTGAGACAGATTTTCTATCAACAATCTTAATATCTTTAATATAGCATCTTTCATGAAATAAACTACAGGCACTTCATCAGGCCACACGTTTCAAGACTGGACTCAACCATTCTGAGGACCTAGTTAAGGCAGCCAACACGCTTAGGAAGAGATCTCACTTGAAAGACACGTGTAACCACTGTGGCATCGGGTTAAGGTGTCACAAGACACCAAATTAAGGCCATGACAAAAAAATCTGCTGATACCTTTATGGTTACAGCCTGTTACATAAGACACTGACACAGAACCAGCCATCAGACATGAGTGGGAGGAAGAGCCGCACAGGATGCACGCTCATTTTCTCCCGTGCACACATCTCTCATTCTCATCACTGCACATGAATGGGAGCCAGGAGTATGTCCTGGCAAATGTGATGCTTAACTTTTCTTGCCGTGAGCTTCAGCAGAAGACACCTCTATGTTGAAACAGGTTACCCAGCCCCACATACCTCCTAACGTTTGGGAAAACCCACAAACAGAAAATACATGAGATACCATCAAAACACAAACAATATCCACCACTGAACTCAGCACAGTCACTGAGGACGAGAGTTGCAACCCACAGACTCACCAGTGCCAAACCAGGCTGCCTCATTTGATCAGAGAATTGCTCTGTGGTTGGATTCAGCCAGCGAGGCCATATGCAAATCATCCCGTTTTACCAACGTAAGCACACTCTTATCTGAATCATAGAGGACCTGTTGTTGCATAACGAATCTAGTGTCCTCCCTACAATCGTTTAGGCAGTTCCCTCGTGATGGAGGGGGCACACGCTGCCTGCATCACACGGGAAGCATCCTGGTGCTCCCGGGAAGCAGCCACATAACGGGCATCACTATGCGATGCACAAGCAGGGAATTACTTAGCACCCCAGCTGATACATGCTCAATAATGAATCACATTCTGCACTTCAGCTGGCCGTTCACTGCTTTTCTTTAGCCAAGCTCTTGCCAGCTCTTTGGCTTTTAACTAAAAAAGCTGATTTCCAGCATTAGATAATTTTAGCTTAAATGCTTCCGCACTGGAGCTCCAGAGGCTGCAAGTGTGAATGAAGAACCATTGGGTGGCCTGACTGCCAGGTAGCTGAAATAGCAGCCTGATTACTCCTGACAGGGGAAAAAGTGACAATTTCAGGAGAACAGGAGTAATGAAGATGTTCTAAGTTCACAGTGGACAATGATTATAGCCAGCATTAAACTTATCTTGTAGCTACACCGAGTAACTGACTTATATTGCTGATTTGCATAACGTCTGCTCTTGTTTGCTGTTATCCAAGAAACCAAGGGCTCTTTGATGTTATGCACAAACTTCATTAAAGTGCAATACCTCTTATCATGCAGCTCATTGTAATGGGTTTGCTGTGCATATGTTTTTTTCCAGGAAGTTTCAAACTGTACTGGCTGTGCTGATTGCAAGAGCTGTTATCAATCAGCTGTTTTTAAAGACACATTAATATATGCAACCTGTCTAGTAGGTGTATTTTAAACCTAAGCTTCACGTATTTATGTTAGGAAAAGGACAGATATTTGGCAAAATTATCTCCCTGTAGCCTTGTGTCTTTGACCTTCATCCAGAGCCAATGTTAAAGGTCTAAAGATAATGTGGAATTTAGTACTCTGCTACTTCACTCAAATGTGCCAGGCAGGGAACATTAGGCTCAGACACAGCTGAGAGCAGATGCAGATAAACTGAATTCCAACATTTCTCATTTGGACTGTGCAAAGTTTACCCACTTTTACTGTGTGCCTGGAGTGTCTACTTTTTAATACTTACTTTTATTACATTTCCAATAGGCATGATTATCAAGTGTCAGACAGTGAGCCTGGAAGCAAAACAGAGCTGAGCACTCAGCGGAACAGGCTACTGGGAGATGCCTCAGCTCTTACGTGATCTCAGAAGTGGCCTGAGAAGGAGGGAGCTTAAAGAGCTTGCCAGAATCGATCCTTTTTGGAAATGGGGAGCAGCTGGAGCAGGCTTAAAGAGTGCTTAAAAAGTGCTTCTTGTCTCTGTTGCGTGCAATGACTATGATCAAAAAGCCAGAAAAAGCCTCATCTCTGACACTAGATTTAACTAAAGCTCTTAAGATTTTTAAGTTCTCAGTTATCTGTGATAGGGGTCATTAAATCTGATGTTATAATGTAGAAATTAGTAAAGTACTGCATGCTGTGAATGAAACACTAATAATATCTTTCAAAGAGTAGTGCAAAGATAATTACAGAACATAATGCAGCCTGAGGAGTCATTCCTTTAAGTTTCAGGACTAATAAGCTCCTGATAAGAAGTTTCTGAGCCAAAAAGTACCTGTTGGGACTAGTGGAAGAACCATCATTAATTTGAGAAGGGAATCAGGCTTTGTCAAGCAAAACAAGTTGTCCAGACCGATGCTAGGACAGGCTGGCAGGGCAGTGACACCCCACATGTAATAGAGGATCCACAGGGCTAAAGAGCCTGAAGTCCATGAGAAGGAGG